AAAAATAAAAACATCATCGCTTTCTCAAAATCATATAAAGCCATATTATAACATCGACTGAGATAAAAAATAAAATAAAATATTAAAATCACGATGTATCTCGCTGCATTACGCGAGTACGCTTCTAGTTATATTATAAGGCATTTGACATAAAACTTAAAAATCATTTTTTATATATAAAGTATTGTTTATTGATACATATTAATTAAAATTCAAGATTACAAGTAGATTGTACGTAACTACAACTTATCAAAGCTTTATGTTTCAATTTGCGTAAGTAACTGCAGATAAACATAATTAAAAGCATGATAAACATCTCATTTTAATTATAAAAGATCCAAAATATAATTAAGATAATAATTGAGTTTTTAATAGAATACTTAGTTATTATCATTATAAAAAATTATATTATTATACCAAAAATAAATTGTTTCATTATTAAACTTACAAAATTATATTATTAAACCAAAAATAATATTATATTATCTTTTCAAATTTTTATAATATCTTCAAATTTATATTTTATTCAAAAATAAAAATATTATCATTTTCTTAAAACTACATAAAATCATATTCTGACATCGATTGATATAAAAATAAAACGAAACATTAACATTGATACATATCTCGCTGTATTGCGCAAGTACATTTTCTAGTATAATATAATGGGTCTATTTTTCTATTAGTCTAAATTTTTTATTCCAGATTAAATTGGGGAGAGGGAGGAATGAAAACTCATTATCTATCGTCTTTTTTTGTTATTTTTATTTTATTTTATTATTTTCATTTTTCTATCTAATTATAAACTAAACAACTCTTTAATATTAACTAGAAGAGTACTCGCACAATGCAGTAAGACACATCTCGATTTTAATATAATATTTTATTCTTTGTCTCTGTCGATGTTATAATACGATTTTATGCGTTTTAAAGAAAACAATAATGATTTTATTTTTGAATAAAATATGAATTTGAAAATATCATAAAATTTTGAAAAAAATTATATCAATTTTAATATCAAATCAACTATTTAAAAGTTTTCATTTTTTATATAATTTCTTTAATTTATTTTTTTATTATAATTTAATTTAA